TTTTCTGTGGTCTTCCGGGTCTTTTGGTGTTGCTGAGCTCACCAATGTGTTCCTTCTTTTTGAGAATGTTCCAAACTGTTGTTTTGGCCACGCCTAATGTTTTTGCTATCTCTCTGATAGGTTTCTTTTGTTTTTTCAGCCTAATGATGGCTTGCTTCACTGATAGTGACAGCTCTTTGGATCTCATCTTGACAGTTGACAGCAACAGATTCCAAATGCAAATAGCACACTTGAAATGAACTCTGGACCTTTTATCTGCTCAATGTAATTGGGATAATGAGGGAATAACACACACCTGGCCATGGAACAGCTGAGAAGCCAATTGTCCCATTACTTTTGGTCCCTTAACAAGTGGGGGGAACATATGCAAACTGTTGTAATTCCTACACCGTTCGCCTGATTTGGATGTAAATACCCTTAAATAAAAGCTGACAGTCTGCAGTTAAAGCACATCTTGTTCGTTTCATTTGATATCCATTGTGGTGGTGTATAGAGCCAAAAATGTTAGCATTGTGTCGATGTCCCAATATTTATGGACCTGACTGTATCTTAAATCATTACATTTCAAAGCAATCGAATGAATCTGGTACACTGGCAGTGTCCCGCGCGAGGCCACCACACAAGCGCTGCACGATAGCGATGGCAGCCATTTTAAACTCAAATAATTAGAGCCAAAATAACCGATCAATATAAGACATCAAAATATGCAATATCTGCACAGTAAATTCAAATAATAAACCAAAATAACAGTTTGTTGTTTAAATGATCTCTATCACAGTACACTTTATACACCACTAACTACTTTAATGCCAGTTTCAGCACGAGCAGTTACACACGTATTTAATGCATTAAAATACAATTAGGCGGTTTTTTATGTTTACTTACATAAAACACAACCAGTACTGACATTTTAGACAACATTTAATGACAAAACAACTTTACAATACCTGAGTAAAGGGGAGAGGAAAAAACACAAAAAAATCACCACCGATGTTTCCTCTTCGAAAACTTTTACTGAATGAGGAACATGCTCGTGATCGCCCCCTAATGTACCAATCAGGCACAACATCCGTTCCAACACAATTATGATGAGGAACATGCTCGTGATCTCCCCCTAGTGTACCAATCAGGCATTATACTAATTAACTAAACCTTTTAATAGACATAAAAAAAACAATTCTGCTTCTATCGTCAACATTTTAACATGTACCTTTTTATAGTTAATCAGTACAACCTTTAGAAAAGCAATCTTAACAAAAATACAAATTTTTAACATACCACACAAGCGTCACTAAACAGCAGCAGTAAGGCAGCACAGAGCAGCAGTGGTTCTACGTAAGATGACCGCCACACCACTTCAAGCAGCAGTCACCGCCACACCACAGCACACAGGACCCTGTGGTAATAGAAAAGTAAGGTAAGGGCTAATTAATTATAAGGTAACGCTATCTGCCCAGATACAAACCAGGCAAAACATTTAACTCACACCTTGGGAGAAACCCCGCTGTATTATTCCCAGCGTCAGGCGTCCTGTCGCAGCTTGTAACATTTACACCGCCCAGGGGCTAAACACACCGGCGCAAGATGTCCCGACCACTAATTTGCGAACGAACAGGGAGTCCAACAATTAACATGACCGCCGAAAAGGAACATAGAGCGTCTGTGCCGGGGTAACCCTTATAGTCTGAGCGCGTTCTCCTATTGGCTACTCACCCCCTTTGTGGCCAGCATGCTCTCATCTAGAGAGCGCAAGCTGGGGAAGGTGTAAAGAGAATTTCCCCATGGGGATCAATAAAAGTATCAATCATTAAAATTGAGCTTATGAGAGAGGTCACGTGACGCTTGTCGCTAATGGCTGCCTAGCTCTGCTCGTCCGCGCATCCTAAATTAAGAGCACACAGGTGCGTCTTACTGAGTGGAGCTGGAGACGTGTTTTATACAAATAACCATTTATTGAAAATAAAATAAAACACACTTTAACAAGCAACCCCCAAAGGGAAAAAAAGAGAAAAGAACCAACGACCAGACTCCGGCTATTCGCCGACTAACCAGCAAGAAACAGCTGTTCAATAAAGTTGATCTAAAGGAGGAATGAAGTCCACTACCACACGCACACAAACACACACACGTGCTCCACCACACAATTGTACGGCACACGGTGAACGTATGACCACCACCCCAGACCAATCAATTCTGTTCCTCAGCCGATCAAACCACGACAGCCACTGGTATACCACAAATGGGAAAGTAAAAAAATATATAACATTAACCATGAATCGGCGTGGTGTTATACTAAAATCAGTGGACAAGAAAACAATGAATAACAATAGTTTCCCTGTAGCAGTCCCAAACAGGAAGGGCAGCCCCAGCGTCTGTTGTTAAGCCACAATCCTAGGGAAATGAACTGCTTCAGGAACCAGGAAACCACGCGATGGTCCTTGGCACGTCGCAAGACTCCCAAGATCAGGAGCATCCAATCATAGTTGAATAACCAAAGAAACCAAAATGAACAGAAAACGAAACAAAACAAACGTAGGCAAAACAGCAGCGACAGTGCAGGCTTAAACTTTTACATTTCCTGCAACAACAAACAATAATCACTGAAACAAAAACCATTTAATCTAAAAAAAAAGAAGTCCGGCATACCTGCTTGAAGAGGCGTACCCCAGAACAGATGACAAATTGAGACCATAATCCTGACAACCGTAAGTAAAATTAAAACACCTTTAATAGACAACAACAAGTACCTATAAGCCCCACCACCAGACTAACTCACAACCATACCAGGAGCTGCAACGCAATCGCACTCACAAAGCGCACTTGTTCTCGCTCCCCCGATACTGCAATATAAAATGACCGTTATCCATTAAAACCCAGCAGAGTATTAGCGCTAATAAACAGCAACACCTACCGCCAAGACACACAATAAAGGTAACACACAGCCAGCGTGCCACCATACCACACCAAACCACTACAGTCCGGGAGGGGGGAGTTACCGGATCAGGAAATGCCAATGACGGCACCGCACCATACGTGTGCTATCCACTTGCCTTTTTATACCGGCAAGATATGTAAGATACACGGCCCTACCGGAAATAATCAATTCTACCCCAAAAGTCAGCCCTGCTACAAGTATTTTCCTGTAAATCTCCCATATTATACTATCATTAAAAAAAAAATTCCTCTGCCTCTCCAAACTGAACTGTCAGTAGCCTCGCGAGAACTGCCCCCTGCAGTAAACTGCAGCTC